TCATTTTATTAAGCTAGTGTTTGTATTGAGTTTAGTTGATTTTATTTATCTCTTTGTACACACACAACCATTGAGCTTATTGTATTTGCATACATTGTATAATTAGGTTGTGGGATTGTGTGACTTAGAGAGTGAGCCTACATTGAATTCTCATCTATTGTAGAGAATAAATTTGTTGTATTGTGAGCCTAATTGTGTTCAACACTTTGTATTACACTAGTACACCAAGAGGAGTGTGTGGTGAGAGACGGGGTCGTCCCAAGAGGAGTGGGGTAGGTGGTAATGCCTAGAGAGAGGTTGTAATTTCTAACACTTGAGGGAGACACAGGCTAGAGACCAACACTTAAGGTGGTAGTTAGTGTAGTTACATTGTGAGTGTGGATTGTAAAGTTTTCGGTTAGCTAGAAAACCGAGTGTGAGGTATAAACGTTATTCGGGTGAGCGTAGAAAACCCAGTTGTGATAGTGGAGGTCTCCTCGAGGTGAGGAGCAGAGTCGTAGGTCGTGGGGACCAAACTCCGTGATAATATCGTTTGTTTGTATTTGTCTTTGGCGTTCAATTATATTCATGCTTACTGTTTATATCGCCTTTATCAAGTGCTTTTTCTTTATATTGCCCACTATCTTGTTTATCTTGTTTATGTTTATTTCACCCTTGTGTTACTTGTATATTGCCTAGAGAGAGGTTGTAATTTCTAACACTTGAGGGAGACACAGGCTAGAGACCAACACTTAAGGTGGTAGTTAGTGTAGTTACATTGTGAGTGTGGATTGTAAAGTTTTCGGTTAGCTAGAAAACCGAGTGTGAGGTATAAACGTTATTCGGGTGAGCGTAGAAAACCCAGTTGTGATAGTGGAGGTCTCCTCGAGGTGAGGAGCAGAGTCGTAGGTCGTGGGGACCAAACTCCGTGATAATATCGTTTGTTTGTATTTGTCTTTGGCGTTCAATTATATTCATGCTTACTGTTTATATCGCCTTTATCAAGTGCTTTTTCTTTATATTGCCCACTATCTTGTTTATCTTGTTTATGTTTATTTCACCCTTGTGTTACTTGTATATCCTTACACATATATTGTTCATATCTCATTTTCTAGGATATTTGTTAATAAGTTTTAATTTAGCATAAATCGGATTAGATTAGCACAAACCCTATTCACCCCCTCCCTCCTCTAGGGTTCTTTCATAGCGACCTTAGGGTCTAACACTCACATATGCGCAAATCAATTGGAGTTCTACCATCTAAGGATGAGTGGAAATACCCATTCCTAAAAGATTTCATAGTTGGAGCACCCCATACAAAGAGGCCAAAAGGCAGGCCAAAGAAGAAAAGGATGAGGGGTAAAGATGAACATGAGAGAAAGGTTTCAAAGAGATGTCATAAGTGCTCAAGGTGTGGTGGCTGGGATCATCATAAGAGTGGTTGTAAGAATCCAATCAATAAGACTGCACAAAGTGGATCAAAGTGGTGTTTATGTAACAACTATTATAGTACTTTCAACTTTGAATTTAATTTATACATTTATTCACAGTGTTGCTACTACAAACAAGAGAGGGAGAGGTCCAACTGTTTCAGGAAGTGAACCAAGGTGATGTGTATGTTTCTATTTATGTGTATGTTTTATCTCTTAGTTTTATTGAGTAACCTAAGTCAATTAACCTTTAAATTTAAAAAATGTTAGCTCAATCAATGCCAGAGATGCATCAAATAGTATGGGTAGAGGGAAAGGTGATACACATTATGTATCTGTGTCTATCTCTCAGTTTCAACCTCCCAGGTAAATTCTACATGGTTATTTATATGTTAAAACTATTATAATAGATCATGACAAGATAGATTTTCTGTAGGTTTGCCAGTCAAAATGCAAGACCAAGTCCAAGTAAATTGCCATTGAGTAGAGGGAGAGCATGGGTAGCTATAGCAACACAACCAATGCCAAACTTTTCACCATCAGTAGTAGCAGAATCATCAACAACCCCACAACTTCAACCTATTAACAATGCAACTTCAAGAAATTCTCAAGGGGAGATAGCATCTTCAACCAGTAATCAAGGAGGCATCAGTAGAGTGACAAAATGATAGAAGTCACAAAATTTTGGCCAATGTGTTAATTTTGCACATATCTTTTGTCCAGACTGCTATATATGTGTGAATGATTCACTGATTTTGTCATGCTTTTATGTAAATGTGCATGTTGCACATAAGTTTCTTAATTATAGGGTATACATGTGCTTGTTGCATAGCTTTTGTTGATATTTTGGTATATGTGTACATGATGCACATATTTTTGTTGTATTTTGGAGGTGATTGTGCAATTTGCACATAATTTCTGTTGTACTTGGATGATGATGTAATTGTGTATTTTGCACATAACTACGGTGAACTTCAATGAAGTCTAACTTTACTGTTATATACCAATATGTACTTTCAAAGATTTGAAATCTTTTTTGGTTAAGTGGTATGTGTAATCATGTACACAAGGTGATAGTGTTGAGAGGGGGGTCAATAATATGGATTGTATGTGTAAATATGTGCTTGTTGCACAACTTTTGTTGATATTTTGGTATATGTGTACATGATGCACATATTTTTGGTATATGTATACATATTTGCAAGGAAACCCATGCCAAAAATTCACAATTTTTTGCAATAACACCATGTCAAAGCTTTGCACAATCAGAGTGTCTTTAATTCATATCTAAACCACACATTACATTATCTAAAACAACCAATTTAAAAAACAACCCCCAAAGTGGTATGTGTAATCATGTACAAAGGTGATAGTATTGAAAGGGGGTCAAAATATGGATTGTATGTGTATGTGGCAAATAATATATTTTGTACAACCAATTTGCAAGGAAACCCATGCCAAAAATTCACAAATTTTGGCAATAACACCATGTCAAAGTTTTGCACAATCAGATTATCTTTATTTCATATCTAAACCACACATTACATTACCTAAAACAACCAATTTCAAAAACAACCCCCAAAGTTATATCTAAATCACAATTTACATCAGTTAAAACAACCAATTTCTACAACAACCTCAAAATTCATATCTAAAACAAAAATTACATGAACAACCAAATTTTAAGCAACCCCCTAACTTTAGAACGGTCTGAGGAACACCAAAATCCCTAACAATACAAACAAAATTTTCAACATAACTATGATGTGTTCCATTTTCTTCCTTAACATGCTAACTTCTTTGAAAAGCTTCATCAACGAATTTCGGCTATCATCCACCTAAGCAAAAAATCCACAACCTTTATTTAAGACATTCTTGTATAGCTGACACCCATAAAATTGCAAACTCTTGTTCTCCCCTTGTTTACACATCCAAATTCTGCACTCTAAACCACAAAAACACTTCTTGTTAGCCCCATGACTTGAGGCTTCGGTGGCATTTGACGATGAGCCTTGCAACATAGTGGCAATTTAGAATGTTAGAGGAGATGAAGAGAATCGGATTGTACAGCAAAATTTTGATGATTATATATAGGATTTTGAGGGAATATAACCGTTGGAATGACCTCTGGATTGGGTTAGAAGAAATAGGGGACCGTTGGAGAAGAAAGAAAGAAAGAGAGAGGGTTTGGGTTTCGGGTTTCGGGTTTGGGGTTTAAACCCATTCTGAAATGGGTAGGGGATGAGGATATAACAGGTAATTCACTTATTCTGTTAACTTTAACAGTCATTATTACCACCAACTAACCTGAGGGATCAAATGGCAAGGAAATTGGAGATTTAAGGGACTAATAAGCAACTAATGGGATTTGAGGGACTATTTGGTAATTATGTTTGATTTAAGGGACTAATATGCAATTAACCCTTTTTAAAATTATCAGTATTCACTTAGAGATTGAATCGTAGAGGATTACTAGATAACAACTATTAGAGTTTAAACTACCCTCATCATAACTTTTAGAGTTCTGGTGTAGTGTGAGGGTCCTTTGACACTAACATTCATAAATATTGAATATATTTTTGTAACTTGTTCCTCAATGTATTTCCCATTAGCTCTTGGTTAAAAGGGCATCTGGGCATTATAATAGTCGGAAACAATAGGTGGTTTTTTCAGCTATCTTTGATTTTAATTTGAGTAGACAAAGGCATAAAAAACAATGCTGATGAAATGCGAGCTTGAATGAGTAGAAGAAAGGATTCTTTTGATTTGTAGGAAAAATTAGCTCAATTGTTATCATTAGCATTCTGAAGTTTGTTGCTTAATTTCTATGGATCCAACAACCTGGCTCTATCCCTTTTGTTGCAGTACTTGATTTGAACCTTGTGGTTTAGCTACTGTTCCTTTCATTTGTCCCTTAGATCTTTATTCTCTTGACACTTGCAACACTCTATCATGTTAGTGGGTCTAAACTACTGTATTGATGAACATACTCTGAAACATTTAGATGACTGCCTGGAGAAATATGGTTTATTAAGAAAAGAACTCTATAGTATCACCCAATTGCATATAGACCCTCTGTAATTCTATTTGTTGCAAATAGAACCCTCAGTGTTTTTTTAGCTCTTAAAATTGTTAAAGAGGTTTGCGGAGGCGAATAGCCCCCCTACAGTTCTATTGTTAAGGATAGACTCCCCATTGTTGTTTCTTTTTTATTTTTAAAAGAGTCGAAAAAGCTCACTAAGGGGGTGTAATTTACACTTCGGCCATTACTACAATGGGGCCTATTCGCAACAAATAAAACTACATGGGGGTCTATTTGCAATAGATGATACTACAGGGGATCTATTCGCAATTGACCCAGAGAAAATTTTATTAAACCAACAACAGTTCATGATAAGATTTTGAACTCAAGGAAAACATTAAATGTAGTCGCAAGCTTCAAATAGTAGGCAAATTATTTGCTAACCAGGGAATCAGAAAAACACAAACCGTTCACACAACTGATGATGCCAAATTACTTCGCTTTCTGCTGGCATAGCCCTTCATATATAGGAATGCTATGTATGAACAGAACACATCCAATACCAGAGATTTATGTTTGTTTTTGAATAATAACATGCAAAATAAAGATATTTACCTACTTAATCAGGAGTTATTACAAACTATTGGCAAGATTCTGCGCAAGCATTTTCTGCATCAAATGCAAGCAAAACCTGTACAAAGTTTTCAAACTGTCATCTTGGTGTTTCTCTGAGCATTTTACCTGGTTTCATGAGGATTAAGAGGAGAACTACGACACAAAATTTCGCGGTAACAATTTGCTCAATCTTGTGAGAACCGAATCTTTCAACTTCTATGCATGTCTATGCTATGTATGTGTCATTAAGGCCAATCATAGTCATCCTCTTTGACCAGGTTGCAGATATCGGAGCATTCCACCAAACTAAGGAAAGTATCAAAGCTCAATAATCTTATTCAAGATAACATGAAATATTTTTGTTACTTAATCGAGAGAAGAAGATGATTACCAGTATTTCCGACTCCGAAATCCTTGCTTGAAAACCACTAGGGGCCTGCAAAATTAATCAAAGACTTAAACCATCACCTTGCAGAATTTATTTAGCACCTTTCAGCTTCAACTTTTTATGGTTTTGCAAAGCTTATGTTCAGAAAGAATGTGAAGGATATCAACTTGATTACCTCCTCACATTGAGAGGGCCTTCTCCTGGTGAGCCAGCTCCGCCACGGATGCACGTGCCAACGCACTTGGTTGTGCATGACTCAGCCTTTCTGGATCTAGGCCTCTGGATCCTTGCTTGCTTCTTATCTTCTCCTGCACAACTTTTTGATCGGTATTAATAAAGTCCATAAAAATAAATCTTATTTTTATAAATCTTATTATAAAACGTGTTGTGTGCGGAAACCAATTGTTTTGCTTCGAGGAACTAAACCAAACACCGAGAGAGAAGACCAAACAAACCAAAATAACGGCACAAACACAAACACACCAATTTTTACGTGGTTCAGCAAATTGTCTGCGTCCACGGGGCAAGAAGGGGATGAGTTTTCACTAATAAAGAAGAAGAGTACAAATAGAGATTACAAATCCACAAACTAATCTCTCACACAAAACTCTCAATCTCTTAAACAAAACTCTAACCAATAAGTCTAGAAAAAACTCTTTTCTGTGCTCAAAACAAACCCCTTTTTAGCTCACCAGAAACCCTAAAACGTGTTGGTATTTATACCAAACATCAAACCAATTCAGAACAGGAAACTGCAAATTTGGATTTGACCCGATATGCGGTCGACCACGACAAATGACAGAGCCCAAAAAATATCTGCAGGCTTCGGGGGTCGACCGCGGCAGTCGACCGCACCCAACTCCAGACTCTCGGGTTTGGATTACAGGGTCTGACGTCACACAAAACTCTCAATCTCTTAAACAAAACTCTAACCAATAAGTCTAGAAAAAACTCTTTTCTGTGCTCAAAACAAACCCCTTTTTAGCTCACCAGAAACCCTAAAACGTGTTGGTATTTATACCAAACATCAAACCAATTCAGAACAGGAAACTGCAAATTTGGATTTGACCCGATATGCGGTCGACCACGACAAATGACAGAGCCCAAAAAATATCTGCAGGCTTCGGGGGTCGCCCGCGGCAGTCGACCGCACCCAACTCCAGACTCTCGGGTTTGGATTACAGGGTCTGACGGTCGACCGCGGCGGTAGACCGCACCAAGACCTGAATCAAGCCCAGGGTCCGTGCACGAATACGGTCGATCGGCCTTACACCGCGGTCGACCGCACACCGCCAAAAACCAATTCCTGCTTCCAAAACCTGTTCTAAACCAATTTCTTCGTAAAATCTATAATTCTTCACCTCGGCAAAGTTTTTCCAAAATTAAGCCGACACCAATACCAACCAAACGTCTTACTTGTTACGTCCAGTACGAAGTGGAATAAATCCACGACAACGGACTCAATCCACAACAAGTCGAGATCCAATTGAGAATATGAGCACTCTCCAAACGTCGGTATCAACTCACCAAACCGGCTGCACCATAAATGACTGCCTACGTATCCTCTTACCTAAGGAATCAAGCCTTCACATAGTTCACCCAATGGCCTCCAAAGGCCCTCAATCCAATAAAAGAGTTCTCAACCCTTCTCTAACATCACCAACGAATCTGCGGCTGATAGCACTCTCAATGGCCCCAAAGTGAGACGAACCAAACACCTCCACCTGAGGTGAACCAACGACCATATTCAAATCTAAACTATCTCCACCAGTTGCACTCGAATCAACCAACTCATTATCTGCATCCAAATCAACATGATCCTCAAACCGTATCACCTCAGCTAGAATCCCAAACGATGCAGTATGATCTGGAGTATGTTGAGTAATCTCCACCCAATGTGGAGTAACATCACCCGATCTGATCAACACTCTCCACTTGTCGAGAGTCAAATATGACATACCTGCCTAGAACAAAATCAGAAGCCAATACCTGATAACCAAACACGTCTCTGAATCCCAAATGTGCATTCGGATCAAATATCACATCCTCGATGTGACCATATGCTGGGCGACCAAACATCCGAAGCAACCCAATATCTGAAGCAGCTCCACCAGATCCAAAATCTCTAAATACAGCAATCGCAACCTATGACTAAGATGACCCAAATATGTTGAAGCCCGAACACCAAAACTACTGCTCGACATCAAACGTCGATCCTCCTCCAGTAAGGAACGGCCCATCAAAACTATCATCTCATCTCATCGCCCCAATGTTTTCTTTCCAATAAAGTATCTCAAACTATCGTGAGCTCGGCACAAATACAGAAAGACCCCTACCAAAATCAGAATGACGTATTACCTTTCTGCCAATACACTTCTTCCACCTGTAGTTGACTACTAGGACTTCATACCAACGAGTCTTGGTTGCAACCCACAAATACCTAGAATAGTCCCGAACATAGGAAACCAAATACTGATTACCTCCCAATGATGCCTCCTTGGAAGTCCCCCAAATGGCTGAATGAACACCACCTAGAAGACCCTTCGCTCGGTGAATAGAAGTGCCAAACTCCATCTTGATTTTCTTGCTCATACCAATGTGCTCACAAGACTTCAATCTGTAGATCAAAGCACTCCTCAACAATCCATACACGGCATCAACAATCAAATATCTCAGCCTCAAATCCTTCTTTCTCAGTCATCTTCCTCAAAGCACCAACAAACAAATGCAGAACAAACTGAAAGAAAATAGATCCAAAATATGAGAAAGGTAGATTTTTATCTCCAACTGAAACCCTAACAAGAGCCTCCAAAAGATCTCATCCCCACACGACGGAAGACAAGATCCACAATAGTAAAAATCCTATCTTTATCACCAACTGAAACCCTAGACGAGCTTCCAAAGCGATTTACTCCTCCACCAATCCCCAAGCGTAGCCAAAGCTCTGATACCACTTGTTGTGCTTTGATACCACTTGTTGTGCGCGGAAGCCAATTGTTGTGCTTCAAGGAACTAAACCAAGCGCCGAGAGAGAAGACCAAACAAACCAAAAAAACGGCACAAACACAAACACATCCATTTTTACGTCGTTCGGCAAGTTGCCTACGTTCACGGGGCAAGAAGGGGATGAGTTTTCACTAATAGAGAAAAAAGTATAAATAGAGATTACAAATCCACAAACTAATCTCTCACACAAAATTCTCAATCTCTCAAACAAAATCCTAACCAATAGCTCCAGAAAAGTCTCTTTTATGTGCTCAAAACAAACCCCTTTTTAGGTCACCAGAAATCCTAAAACGTGTTGGTATTTATACCAAACACCAAACCAATTCAGAACAGGAAAGTGCAAATTTAGGTCTGACCAGATACACGGTCGTCGACCGCGGCGGTCGACCGCACTCAACTCCAGACTCTCGGGTTTGGATTACAGGGTCTGGCGGTCGACCGCACCAAGACCTGAATCAAGCCCAGGGTCCATGTACGAATACAGTCGATCGGTCTTGCACCGCGGTCGACCGCACACCGCCAAAAACCAATTCCTGCTTCCAAAACCTGTTCTAAACAAATTCCTTCTCCAAATCTACAAAACGTAGGCCACAAACCGCGGATAAAACGTAAGATTGGTCTAGATACACAATTATGGACATAACAACACATATACAAATATTCATAGGGTATTTCAGCATAGTGAGATAATGAGGCATAATCACCCTGACTTGGTGTAAACTGACAACCGTCGAGCGATAACGTGACGATCATATTCATAGCATCTTCCACTATCTCTAGGCTAACCAAACTTACAGTCATTCTTCCAATGCCGCAACCTTCCATTTGACTTTACTCTTTATGATATCACTTCTTACAGAATAATTGAGCCTCTTCAAAAACAAAATGAACGTTAAACATACCTCCCTAACTCCTTAGAAAAATCCATCGCTATTCCTAGTGATTGAAATGTTGGATCATACTAAAAAAGAAACAAGAAAAAAAAGGATATACTGAAAATTAAGATTGACCTATGTGAAGTCTGATAAGTGGAAGTTTTACCGGAGAGTGTTTGCGGGACATTGGAGAAGGTTTCAGGCGAGTCAAGGGGAGATGACGTGAATATCACTGCAGCAACGAGCAGCGCAGGCGCGAAGTTGAAGCTTGCTTTCAATGATGATGATGTTGTTCTTCTTCTGCT